CCAAAAGGCAGTTGGAATTTTAGCGGGAATTTTATTGAGTCTTTATGCCATCTTAGCAGTATTAAGTCTTGCAGTGATGAACATGGGATGTCTTTCCATTTATTTAGGTCTCCTTTAATTTCTTCAGACAAATTTTTATTGTTTTTAGCATACAAAAATCTTTCCATCTCCTTAATTAAATTATGTCCCTAAGCACTTTTTTAAATGCCATTGTAAGTGGTTTTGTCTTTTTAATTCCTTTTCAGATTGTTCATAGTATTTAGGGTGCAAAAATACAACTGACTTTTGTATGATTTTTGTATCATGCAACTTGTTTAGTACACAATAGTTGTGTGTGTTTGCATGTGTGTGAATTTGGATTTTTTTTCTTGTCTAATTGCCTGGGCTAGAGTTTCTAGTGCAATGCTACATAGAAGTGATGACAGCAAACATCCCCTTCTTATTTCTGATCTTAGGTGGAACACTTAGTTTTTTATCCAATATGATGTTAACTGTAGGTTTCTCTTGGATGCTTTTTATGGGGTTGAGGACGTCCCTTCTATTCCTTGTTTGATGAGTGTTTTTATTCTGAAACAATGCTGATTTTCTTTCAAGTTCTTTCTTGCATCCATTCAGGTGATCATGGCTTTTCTCCTCTTCATTCTATTACTATGACATATTACTTTAATTAATTTAATATATTGAACTGCCCTTACATTCCTGGGATACATTTCACTTGGTCATGGTACATAATACTTTTAGTATGCTGCTCCATGTAGTTTACTAGTATTTTATTTTATTTTCCATAGTTTTATTGGTGCATTATGGTTGACATAATGGTAGGATTTGTTGTTATCTATTTGTACATGCATACAATATAACAATATAATATGGTCAATATCATTCCTCAGTATTTTACCTCTCATTCCTGTTTTACTAGTATTTTATTGAGGAACTTTATATCTGTATTCATAAGGAATATTGGTCTATAGCTTTCTTTTCTTATAAGTCCAGTCCTTTTTTTCTTGTATTTAAAGTGGATTTTTTAGAGACTGAATATAGTTCTTGTTTTTTAATTCACTTTG